AGGATGCTTCCAAATGGTTTTGGATTGAATGTGTGTATCATTCATGTTTTCTCATGTTTTACCCAAATGTTCGCGGGTTTCTGTACTGCAAAAACAAAGTAAATGACATTGTGTTTTGGTCCAGGGTGTCTCCAAAAAATTGGTGCTATAGGGGGAGCCTTTCACCATGTTCCACCCATCCGGACACAGAGCCTATCCTTCTAAGTCTTCCGGATACCAAGGAGTTTTTGCACACTGCCATGGCATTTTCAGAGATATTGAGAATCAGATTAATTATATATGCTAAGTTGAGTTTCTTGATTTTGCTCCCAAAGATTCATCCACTCATCCACTAGGCTAGCGGCAAGGTTGGCAATGAATGGCAAGGAACCCTTGTTGTTCCTGGTTGCACTCAGTTCTTGCAGGAGCCCTGGCCCTCCTCACATGGTGGATCGCCGCATGGTGAATCCGGCGCAAGCTCCTCTGAATCGGATGCGGACACCTTCACCTGCAGTAGCTTGAAATGGAAAATGCAAAGATTGCGTTTTGCAACAGCAATCCTTGCAATTCCTTACACAGCAGAAGCTTTCAGATAGATCCAAACGGTTTCTTGTTCAGTTTCGATGAATGTACAGGCAGAAATAGTTGACTTGAGCTTTGCGTTTTCACATGCTTTCACTTTGATTGGTTGTTTTGAGAAAAGGTAAGACGTTCTATATTCTTTCTGCAACTTCCAGGAATGCAGTGTTTCTTGTATTTTCTTGTATGTTCTTGTAGTGCAGTCGGTTGCAACTGTTGCTCCCCTTGTTTGTTGGCCTAAGGTGATGACACAAGTGCCTGCAGAGTCTTATGCTCAGTTGAGGGATGCATCAACATCTTGAAACAGGCATATGAAATGAAAGGATGCTTCCAAATGGTTTTGGATTGAATGTGTGTATCATTCATTTTTTTTCATGTGTTACCCAAATGTTCGCGGGTTTCTGTACTGCAAAAACAAAGTAAATGACATTGTGTTTTGGTCCAGGGTGTTTCCAAAAAATTGGTGCTATAGGGGGAGCCTTTCACCATGTTCCACCCATCCGGACACAGAGCCTATCCTTCTAAGTCTTCCGGATACCAAGGAGTTTTTGCACACTGCCATGGCATTTTCAGAGATATTGAGAATCAGATTAATTATATATGCTAAGTTGAGTTTCTTGATTTTGCTCCCAAAGATTCATCCACTCATCCACTAGGCTAGCGGCAAGGAATGGCAAGGAATGGCAAGGAACCCTTGTTGTTCCTGGTTGCACTCAGTTCTTGCAGGAGCCCTGGCCCTCCTCACATGGTGGATCGCCGCATGGTGAATCCGGCGCAAGCTCCTCTGAATCGGATGCGGACACCTTCACCTGCAGTAGCTTGAAATGGAAAATGCAAAGATTGCGTTTTGCAACAGCAATCCTTGCAATTCCTTACACAGCAGAAGCTTTCAGATAGATCCAAACGGTTTCTTGTTCAGTTTCGATGAATGTACAGGCAGAAATAGTTGACTTGAGCTTTGCGTTTTCACATGCTTTCACTTTGATTGGTTGTTTTGAGAAAAGGTAAGATGTTCTACATATATTTTTTCTGCAACTTCCAGGAATGCAGTGTTTCTTGTATTTTCTTGTATGTTCTTGTAGTGCAGTCGGTTGCAACTGTTGCTCCCCTTGTTTGTTGGCCTAAGGTGATGACACAAGTGCCTGCAGAGTCTTGATGCAAATTAATTCAGGCGGAGGTATCCTTTCCCCTGGATCCAGCAAGCAGTTCGTGGGATAGTGCTGATTGTCGGTGCTCCTAAGGGTTTTCCTCAGATGCGGAGAGCATCGCCTGGATAAAAGGGATGAACACCTTTCTTCGCCTCTAGTGTTTTTGAAACCTTTATTTGTTTCTGATGGATTCAATATGATTTAATTTTAGGAGGCTGAATGATTCGAAGGCCCATGAGTTTACAATCAGCACAGCGATTCGAATTTAATGAATTCTTCAGTGGGCCACAAGTCAGACCTTGGGCCAGTGACGAGTCAGCTCAGGAATCCTTCTGCCCTCAACCTGTTGCACCTGGCATGCCACGACGACTAGGCGGGTTCGTTTGCTGGGTGGGATGCAATGCGAAAGATAAGAGGTTTCATGAGGTTTCAAATCCACTTGTTAATCTTCTTAGACTGTTAGAATCTGTTAGACACGTCACTTGTCGGATCTTGTTTTGGAGGTCACTTGTCAGACCATGCAATGCGTTGCAGGTAGCTGCGGCAGCTGTAGCCTTCCACTCGGCCATCCCCAAGGGACCGCTGGAAGCCATGGGTGAACACGGGTGGAGGACACGAGCTCTTTCCGCCCCTACAGAACCAGCAAGGTCATGCCAGGTCTAGCCGGAGCAGAACATGTCACAGAAATATACAAAAATCATATGAAATTTGTGAATAAATTATAGAGGAGTGAGTGTAGGCCCTTTACATCTCCTATCCTCTATTTTCCTCTATTTTCAATCTATCAAACTTGAATTTTGTTTGGCAGTGGAAATTCTTCGATTTCAGCAACGAACGCAAGTGTTTTGCTGTTGCCTCTCCAATCGAGGGCAGCTAAGACTGGTGCAGAGATAGGGCCTAGGGTTGGCATGCAGCTTCATTCACTTCAAGGCTTAGGAGTTGGAGTGCTTCAAGGCCCAGCATTTGTTCCACTGATTCTCCATGTTACAGAGGTTCAAATCCCTTTTGAGGGACCAGAGAAAGGATGATCATACAGTACTTGCCATGAATCATGAAGCGAGAAGACCTCCTTAAAGCCTGAGATTTCTAGAGTAAAGAACATTTACATTGCTGACCAGAAGACCTGTCTCAAAGTCAAATCATTGCTGACTACTTGATTTTGGGAAAGCATGATCTCGCTGGTTAAACCACGAATTTGCATGATGTTTGCAGATTTATGCTGGATCACAGTTTGCATCAGTTTGCAAGACATGCAGAGTACTTGCTGTTTACTTTGTCAAGGGAGTTCACCAGACATTCCAGAAAAAATGTGTGTGTGTGTGTTATCATGTATTCAACTGCTTTGGTTGACATGCTGCAAAGAAATGGGCACGAGTCGTTTGTTTGTCCTAGCATTAGGATGCATTAGGATGCATTAGGTATTTGGAGGTGTTTTGTTTTGCCAGATAAAATGCCAGCAGAGCTTTGCAAACTATGAAGTCATCCGAAGTCGGCAATCGTCAGATCCATTCGCTCGTTTCCATCGACGTGCGAGCTATAGCAGCTAGCTAGCAGCTAGCAGCTTGCTCTTTGCGGTTCATTTGTAAAAACAAACAGCAGCTGACAGTGTGAAACCATATGAAGTGTCGTGAAAGTATGAGGCCCACAGAGTCATAGAATGTGATAGAGATTGCAGCAGATTGGAAGATATGCAAACGGATTGAAATTCAATATTAAAATTGGCACACTTGGCACACGTGCCCTTCAATCCTTGGAATGTGTTTGAAATGGAAAAGGTCCTTTTAGAATCTTTTAGATCCTTTTAGTATCCTTGCAAGAGTTTTTATTGAACCTGTCCTGTATGATAGTAGTGTGCTTTTTGTGCACACGCTGTTATGGTATTAGGTCATGGTTCAACAACTGGAGTTCCCCAAGAGTAGTGTCCGGGAGCGCTCACCAGTTATAACCGCTTTTGATGTACTGTAGCCTGACCGGTTCAAGCTGCCTCAAGAAAGTGCAGATGCTTCATTTATGGCATCCATTACCCGAACAACAGGATCCTGCGATTTTGGCTGAAGAATCATGCCTTCAGCTTCGAAAGTGTCACATTGCAGCAGATGCTCTGAAGAACGTCCCTGGAATGCCGTGGAATGTTTGGACTGTAACGACTGTCGTACCATCTCCAAAGCCTAGGATAGCAACGTGGCGTTCCAATATCTGGAGCCTTGGCCTCATTGCACGCCCAAGCGATCATGCCGCCCTGCCCGTCACCTGCTGGAAGCGTGAGTCCAGGGATGAGACAAGGCTGGGGTAAACATGGGAGACTCAATGAATGAAACGTCAGCAAGAATCTCAATGATTGGATTTGGTATTTCGATGTATTTCGCATTTTCGGATTTGATGATCATTGCTAACTGAGTCGCATCATGTCCCAAAGGAAAAGTGAGTCAAGAGTCAAAGAATTGAAACGCATCTATTAGACGTGTATATATTATACTGTATACTGTATCATGTGTATCACATTCTCCCTCAAAACGAAACTCCGGACTGTACGATAACTGGCAGCCACATGATGGGTCCCTTGGCTCTGGTGTTTTGAGGGTTGGTTGAGTTTCTTCGTGGACTTGATTGCCATCCAGTACTGAAACATGGCAATGGGAAAATCCTGAGCTTAGTTCAATGATTTTCCCGTTTAAATTTCAAGTGTGTCGGATGAATCATGGCCAGGTGAGGCATCAGCTGATGACTGTGAAGGTGCCTTGTGAGGGAATCATCGAAAAATCATTCATGATTCATTGCTTGACATTGTTTGTTACTACTGTACCAGTTTTATTATATAATTGGTTGGGATTTTTTCAGCCGTCCAGCTCTGAATGGATACGCAAGGAAACGTGTGTGTGTGTGTTTCTTAGTGTTCATGTTTCTTGAGATCGTTGTTGTTTTTGTTGTCACTAGTTCTGACTTCACTGGAAGAAGAGTTTGTTTTGACATGAAGAGCTTGTGCGACTTGCAAAAAGCCTATACTGTACCTATTACGCATCATATCATCCTAGAGCAAAGTAAGTGTGTGTGTGTGCGCGTGTGCACTCGCGCCTGTTGTGAGCATTGTTTTTTAATTGTGTCTGTTTCCTTCAGAACTCAAGGGTCCGCTGTCAGCTATAGATGATGTGAACAGGTTTGACGTTTCCTGTCCTTCAATGCGGTTCTATCCTGTCTTGGCAGTACGTTAAATAAGAATAAATAAGATCAGATTGCTGTTCCCCCCATCCCTTCCCCTCCAGTACAGCCTGCTGGAATCCGCCAGGCTTGACTTCCATGCCGTCAGGCTTCAGCTGGGCTGAGGGGACAATGCCAATGAGAAGTGAGAAAGGGACAGTTCGGACAGGATGATGTTTGGATATGTTGGTTTGTGTTGCTTATTATTGATTCTTATTGATTCTTATTGTTTCTTCCCCATTTTCAATGCTCTGATATCACAAGGAGTCAGGAGTCTCACATCCCAGCATACTGGTGGTTAACGATGAGGTCATGCAATGTCGTTCTAATACTATACTGATCTATACTGACTACTGGTTGATCCGCTTACCGGCCAGATTCATACGCAGACAAGCTTCAAGCTTTGGAAGAAGAGTTTCTCATGGCGAGGAGCGGGGATCAGCTCAACTTGGGGTGGAAGTTGCACAGTCAATGGAACCGGATGGAACCGGCAATCAAGAATAGTCACGACATATCAAGACAATTAGCATCACCTGGCATTGGAAGTCAATTCGTGTTTTTACGATTTGTTTTTACGTGTTTCTTTAAAATGAATGCAAATTGTGATGATTTGTGATGTATCCCTGACAGTCTCGCACTTGGATTCTCCAGTTTTTGTATGCTCATTGGATTGTAGAAAACACAGCAACTATAAGGCCATCACCAAGTGTTCTTTATTGTAAGTTCCGTCGAGAGCCTTACACGAACGGAAAACAGGTTATCAACATCAATCAACCATGTCATAGAACTGTATGGTACAATGCAGAGAAAGTGTGCTTGATTTATTTGTTGCATAATCAAGTCACCATCACCATCATCGACCATATTGATCCATATTGATCAACCAATGCGCACAATATTGATCAGCCAACGGTGCAATATGTCAACAATGGTTGACCGATGTTGACCGTTTGAGGCGTGACCGTGGGGACTTCGATGTCCGCATCAATCGCAACTCCGAGCAGATGGATCGGCTGTGGCAGGCTGGGAATTCTTCAGTTTCCTGATAAAGGCCTGGGAAAACTGGATCAATTGGATCATGAATATATCATGAATATGCCATGATTCATGCCAATTGGTTGTAGTTCAGTTGTAGAACCAGTTTCATGTTAGAATATCATAGAATATCCATGAATATCCACTGTTCAAGTATCAAGTGAACGTGAACTCCAGTAGTGTTTCAGAATGATCAGGATGTTGTCAACAGCCTTGAATCATTTCAGGACTTTGCAAACGAACGACGAGAGCGACAAGTGGAGGTCAATGAGGACTCTTGAAACTATTTAAAATATTTTTAAGAATCGTCATGATCCAACTTGATAATTTGTTTCTATTTCTTCATCCAGGTTTTTCAAACAAAACGATTTAAGGTGGATAGAGGTGAACTGTCGCATTTTGCAATATTTTGGCGTTGTTTCATGGAAACTGCCTGAGCACACACTTGAATTGGATGGGATGAAGAATTCGTAGCATTTCGTAGCAGTGTCTGCAGGGTGTAGCTCTAAAGAAGATTTCCGAGGATGACAGGTTTACTGCAACAAACCATCAGGAGCGCATGCTCCGCGTGGCTGAGATGGCTGAACTCCGACGCTTGGAAAGAGATTGAGCAACCCTGGACATTTTGTGAAATGCGTAGGACACCATGCACATAGTTAATGCACACCAGTACAAATGATGTGTAGACTGTGTAGACATTACACTCATTACATATTGTTTGTATGTTTTTGCAAACCTCGAGGGTTTCTGTGAGACAGTTCTTGAAGCTCACCCGCTTACCTTCGACTTGGAAGCAAACAACATGATCTCATTTTCAACTTCCTCAGTCCATTTGTTGTTTTAACTTTGGTCATCAAGACATGCCATGATCGTTTGTTTGGGCTGAGGCGAACGCATCGACAAATTGAGCAAGGCGGCATCATGCGAAGCACACACACACAACGACCAAGCGCCTTTATCATCCTGTACTTATCTTTACTTGTCTTTAAGCCCGAGTGGCGGGTTTTAACATGTTGTTTTAACTAATATATATATATTAACTTTAACGGTTTTAGTGTCTGAAACATGCCCCAGACGATTGTGAGCAATTGGTTGATTGCGGACGGCCTCTCCACAGGTGGCACATTTCGAGCCAGAAGGGAACTGCTTAAATGACCCTCCCGTGCTCGAGACTTACATCGAAGAAACACAGGAGGTCGGGGATACCCGTTGGCGACCGTGTAGGTGTGGCATCCTCTTGCTGTCAATCTGCATTGATGATTCGGCTGCTTACAGTATGTAAGTATGCATACTCTTTGTCAGTTTAACATATGGAAAACCAAAGCCACCATGTTTAATATAGGTAAATCATCGAGGCATGTTCCAAAGCTATATTAGATTACCGTAGGGTATGTGGAATGTCATGAATAGAAGTCTAGCCTGCCATTCTTCCTTTTGAAATCTCCGGATTTGGATTTTTGGGGAGGCAGTGGGATCAGTGACTCCTTGACGATTTTCTTTGGGATCAAATGTAGAATTTGCTCATGTTTGATCGCTGTTTGCATCTACCAGGATCAAAATGGTGCGCCTGAGTTGACGGCGGATGGCCAGGCAGTTCTTTTTGTTGTCTTCGTGGTTTGGTACAAAACAGCGAGAGTGTTGCTCTTCTTTGTTATTCATTGTCATCCAATGGTATGTTTCGCAAAATGAGATGTGCGGTACGCTTCAAACATCGGTTCGCACTGTGCAAGCAAATACACTCTCAACATGCAACGCAGCCACGTTGCAAGACAAAACGGAGATGTTGGATTCTGAGAGTTTCAGCCATTCTGGATGTTTCGAACTTGGGGTGGCGATGGTAGTGATTGCAGGGCAGCAAGTTGGTCTTTGACGCAAAGCACGCAGAGGCTCAGAAGATTTCAGGAAAACAATCGAATTGTCATGAATCCTTCCGTCATGTGGACATGTGGAAGCAGCGAGGCATGATTTCTTAGTGCACAGGTATGATGTGTGTCAGCATCAGGTGCATGGCGTAGGAAAATCAATGTAGGAAGAGTTTGCAAAAGCTTGGAGAAGCTTTGCCAGCAGCCTGATTCAAGAGTCACACACACATGCAGACAGAAACACACACCTTCTTATAGATGGAACAAAAGGATACCTTGGAATTTGTGTGCCACGTCGAAGCCATGAATTGTTCACATCAGTGGTACTTTCTTGCTCAAAGCTACTCGTACCGTCACTTTTATGTCACTATGCAACATGGTCGCACTTTGGTTCTGCTGGTGCTTGGAGTGCTTGGCACAGGATTCTCCGTGGCCAACGTGGCCAACGTGGCCAACGCGGCCGGTGCGTCTTGTGATGGATCGGTTTGCGAAGTGATGTCAAGTGATCAGTCGGATCAGTTCTCGGACATCGAGAGCATCAAGGGACCCACAGGGCGAGAAGAGGAACTCGAGGAACTCCACGTTGGAATGCTGCAGGTTAGTGCTGGACTTCTTCCAAGAGAGTCCACTATTGAAGCATCTGAATTGAGGAAAAACACCAAGAAAGACGTCATGCCCAAGGTCCATGAGTCAATATTTCAGTGGATTGAGGGAGACTCAATCAAGTCGATGCTTCTTCCAATTGCCACTGCTATTTTGCTACCCCATGCTGTATCCTTTTTGGTTGCCCATGCTATCATGCACAAAACTGCCGAACACAGCACGGAGTCGGAGATCCTGCAAGAGAAGCAAGAAGAGCCAAAGAGCTTCGCATACATTGCTGAAAGAATTGGACCGATGTGGCTGATTCACATGCTTGGAATCTTCTCTTTTGCCCTTGGAGCTCCAAGCATTGAGTACTTGTACTTGAACTATTTTGCACGTCAGCAATCTCATTCACAGATTGACTGTTCCGTACAAATGGCAGAAGCACCATGTGCACAGTCTATCATGAAGGTATTGCACCTCGCAATCATCAGAGGCTTTGCGCTACCCTTTGTTCAATTCATTGTAGGACCTGCCTTGGGTGCTTTCAGTGATGCCTATGGCAGAAGGCCAGCGGTGTTAGTGATTCGTACCTGTTTGTTCATTCATTGCGCAGGCACAGCAGCCGTGGCATGGTTTCCCATTCCAATATGGATTGACTTTGGTCTCAGTTTCTTTGCAATGATCCCTTGGGGGTCTGTGCCTTTTGCTTGGTATATTGACCGACTCGATCATGCACCAAGCATTGTATACGCAATGAGCATGGTTGAGGGTTCATGTATCATTTGCGCTGCTCTTGGTACTGCCATTGGAAGTTTCTTGACCTTGAAAATGGCGCTACTTGTTGAATTTCTGGGACGTGGTGTGACCACAATGTTGATTGCAATTTTCCTTTTGCCGGAATCTCTTCCAGAAGAGAAACGGGTGCCGTTCTCTTGGTCCTCGTTGACGCCGACAGCAGCTTTGCAACTGCTCCTTCAGAGCCCCGTCGTTGAAAAACTCACTGCAATAGGTGTCATCAATGCATTTCATTGGGCCGGCTACTACACACTCTTTGGAAGATTCCTTCAGAGTCACATGGCATGGACGCGGCAAAACACTTACACTGGCGGACTCGTGGAGCAAGTCTCCCAAGTCTTGTGGCTTTTTCTTGGCGTGAAAGTCCTTTTGCGGATCTTTGGTCAAGCAGGATTGATGGCTGTCAGCACAACCGCGGCCGTGCTGTCCAACATCCTACAAATGCTTTCCAACAAACCGTGGCAAATCTACACCAACAGCGTGGTGCTTTCCGGTCCAGCTATCATGGGCTCAGCTGTGGTCGCTGGGATCGTGGGCAAAGCTGCTTCTGGAGGTCAGCAGGGCATGCTACAAACTGCCCTGGGACTCGTCACCCAGATGGCAGGTGCTTTGGGGCCGGTAGCTTTCGCCACAGTCTACAAGTTGCTGGACCCAACAGCCCCTGGGGCACCAGCTTGGAACATGTACTTATATATCCTCTATGGTGCTCTTTTCGCTGTGCCAAGTCTACTTTTAACATTCTCATTGAGCAAGCATGATGAAAAGGTCTGAGCTCAGCAAAAAAAATGCATGCAGATCATCGTGTAGTTTGCCTGGCGGCCTGGTATTGATTTCGGATCCTTGGGCAACCATTGCAACCCAGCGGACAAAACATATCATAAGATATTATAAGTATAACTTAATCACAGATGAATACTTACTAGTTCTACAATGTTCTACATATTGCTATCATATGAAATGATACAAAGCGGCACTAGTTGTTCTTTTCCCTCTTTTCATTTTTGTTTCCTCTTTTTTCTTTCAAAACATGTCACACCCGGCTCCGTGAGGCACAGCTGCGGCGCCTGGTGGCAGATGCCAAACGAGCTGAAGCCATGGTCCGACGCGAGGTGGGCCGTGCCATCGCGGATGCCCGGACGTGTCCTGGCGGATGGAAAGCGGCTGGGTGGAGATTCCAGATGTAGATTGTGTTATGGTTATGGTATGGTTATGGTATGGTTATGGTATGTTATGGTTCTTATGGTTCAGTAATGTTCAGATTATAGTTTAGAATCTAGAATAATAGATCAGTATGGTTTGGGATGATTTGGGTCAGTTTGGTGAAATGAGAAGGTAGAGGAGATGCCAGTGGATAGGCAGTCACAGACCTAGCAGCCTTTTGTGTTTCATGCAGAGACACGGACACTCATTGTGACGCAGTATTCTTGTCATCAACATTTTTACATTTTGTTTACCAACTCTTCACTTCAGGGGAATACATATACTGTATTCATAAATGTTTGTTTTGAACCTGCATGGTGTAGTTTGTGGGGTTTTCTCGGCTTTTCGACTTGAGTTCTACTTTCCTTGCAGCTCTTCCGCGCTCAGGTATTTGGAAGACACTGGTCATCAGCAGCAGGCTTTGGCTTTTGTGAATTGTACAGGCAAACTCAATGATGCAAGTTACGCGTTCAAGCTTGAGTTTGCCCTTTCAAGCTGCGATTAGTGTACACCCATTATATAAAATAAATTCGATTTTGTTCCTTACAGCAGATATATAAATCGATATAGTCAATATATCATCGTCCAGGAATCCGGAAGATTGAGTGAGTCAGGAGTTCTGGGCAGCTCGTCAGCGCATGGCTGCCTGCCGGATTGGCAATGCGGACACGACCAATCCAAAGATGTCCGAAGCGCTGTCATTGCATTTGGATTCGGAGATAAAGACGCGAACCCGTTTGGAGGCCACCGGAGAGTGGGAGAGTGGGAGACTTGACCGGGAAGTTGACCCCACAAAAAAGGGGAGCTTGAAGGAATTGACTTTAATTTGAATAAAGTCGGGTTAGAACCACATCCAGAACCTTGAACCTCTATCCCTGCCACTGTTTTTTGGTGACAACAATCAGAAACTGAGTCTTGGATAGCCTTGATACTCCAAGAGTCTCACACGTTTGTACTTGGTTTCTGTGGCTCTCCAAAGACAGTGGAGTTCAAGAACTCCGTCCTGATCATCCTGCAAATTGAACCATGAAATATTATGAAATCCTGGACCGGCCTGCCGAAAGCACTCCTCGGTTGAGGCCATGGAACGTGGTTTCAACTCGGTGCCCCGCATGGATTAACGACGATTCATGTATGTTATATATATATTATATATATTATATATATTATATATATTATATATATATTATATTATATATATATTATATATATATATTATATATATTATATATATATGGATTACACAAGTTGTTGTGTTCCTTTTATAGGCTGGACAGGTTCTTCTGTGTTTTTCTCAGCCATTCATTGAGAGTTTTCTTCCCATTCTATCTATTCTTTACAGACGGCGATTCTTGTGCCTACAACATCTACAACGGGCCAGACGTGACGTGTGCATAGTGACCACCAGCTTGAACCATTGAACCCCCAAGCCCAGGTACAAAAATGTGTGGAGAACCTCCAGTCCCTCCCACAACAGATGGAAGTCTCCTGGCGAAAAGGTGATTGAAAGGTGCAAGGACCTGATCTCTGCTGTTTAGTTAACACTTGAGCAGTTTGGAGTCTTCCTCTTCGGAAATCGTGGCCTTGGTCCTGAACATGTTGACATTTCAACACCATGCCGTCCTTCAGACTGTGTTGGATTCCCAAGTATTCAGCTCACCAGGACCCTAGGATTGTGCTGTGTTCACGCGCTTGGTTTTTGAGACATGGTATGACCATAGGTTTTTGGAATGATTTTATGATTAAGATTGATTGTTATGTTTATTTTTGGTTCTCTTTGTTTCATGTGATTGCATTTTGTTTTTTATCCTTTCTTTTGCTCCAGAGTCCAGAGGTTCTCATGGTTCTCACATGTTCCGAGATGTAAATCAAGACATGGGCACCAGGGTGTGAACCAAGGCATATGTGAACCAAGAGATTGAGCAGGTTCGCACTGAGCTCAAGGAGTCCCTAGAGGAGCGCCAGAAGAAGCGACGCCTCAGCGAGTTGGAACACAGTGCAGTCAAGCAGGCGCGATGCTGTGCCCAGATTCTGAGGATGTCAGCAAATAATTTTCTGGGAGGGACAACTTTTTTCTCAGAGGCACAGCATGGACTCTATAAGCAAGTGTGAAACAATCTGACTGATCAATTGTGAATTCAGTGAACAAGTATAAGCCTAAGCTGTAACAGTGATACAATCTCTTCGCATTTCACATAGAAATATGCCACAGTATACACCTCGGCGTGAGTAGGTCTTTACGTGAATGTTGAAGAGAAAAGGCATGACTTATGTTGGCTGCCACGTTCACCAGAACGGCATTTAGTGGCAGCACGGCTGGAATGGTTACAAGATAAGCCTGAAGCTGAGCCTCAAGCTGACGCCTCGACAGGCCATTGCAGAAGTTCGCTTTGACGTTGTTTCGCTCTTTCAAAAGGAAGTGAAGACCCTCCGTGAGGAGTTTGGTCGCGCGAGGTCGGACGAGGCTAATGGCGTCGGGAGCGCATGGAAGTGAAACGATTCGAATCGAACACGTCCATTTGGATCATCTGGATCATCTGGATCATTTGGATCATTTGGATCATTTGGTCCAAACGTGGATGGGCAATGAGAATCCCTGGGATGTATTGGGATGTCACAATCACTTCCTCTGCTTGTTACTTCTTGTTATTGGACTCTGCTTGCTACTGGACTTGCTTGCTTGTTGTCAACCTCAAGGCCATACTCTGATTTTGGTTGAGGCTTATCGCCAATCTCTCCGCATTCATGAAGTTGAGGAGAGTGGTTTGGTTGCAGAAGAGAGGTTGGCTGTCAACATCGATAAGGAATGATTTAGGTTGATATATTTTGCTTTCGTCGCGATCGACGAAGAAAAGCCGCTGAGGAATATCCGCAATGGAAAAGTGCCATGTGAGCACAAGCTCTGGCGATGAGGCCAAGCCGGCCTTTGAAGGTCTGAAGGACAGGGTTTTGAGATGTCAAAGTTTTCCCAATTTTATAGTGGCAATCCCATCAGAAAAGAACAACCTCCCGGATGAGCGATGAGTCGTTTCCACAGGAGGGAACAGGCGAGTGCAGCAGTGCTCTGAGAACATTGCGAACAGAGCAACTTGCCGAGAAAACATGAGAAAACGTTGATCCTTTTTATTCATGAATCGGTGTTGTGTGAAGAGTATGGTCATTGCATGTCATTGCCCTAGACTAGACATGACTAAACCACATCAATCCAGTGGACAAGTTCAGTTGAGACATCTCGAGAAGCAGGGGAAGTTGAAGACTTGCGGCACTTTGTTCATTGTAGCAGCAGCAATACGTTCACCTTTAATTAGGCTTGAAAGCAAATTTGTCATCCTTGGCGGCAGGTCATCTCTCAAGAAAAACATAAAGCATGAAGTGGCTGAAGTCATTCTGCAAGGGACAGTGGTGTGCAATTTCAGTAAGATCACCAGTTTTAGCAAAGATGCTGAAACAGAGATTGGAAAGCATTTGAACTTCATTTGAAAAGCAAATGGCTAAAGAAAGCAATACCAACAGGCAGAAGCTGCTCCATCTCTGGCTTCCTCTAAGGAATATGCAGGCGAAGGTGGAGGCCCCTCGGAGTCTCAGCCAAGAATCATTTCACGAAAGAACTGATCTCTGAAGTGACCAAAGAATCTTGGACATTTTGTCATGTTTTGTCACTGCCTCCTCAACAAGGGAGAGGCTTTAGAATCACATTCTTGATCAAGGCACGTCAGCATTGCTAACCTGATGAGCTGCTAAGTCATCAAGATTCCAGCATGTTCCAACCATTTCCAACCCATCGAACTGCAGGTCCGCGCAGAAATGCAGAAGATGAAACAGGTGCATTGGTACATCTAGCATCATCTAGCTGCACATACCTTTTTTGTTGTGGGTTCTACCTCATTGCAAGACATGGTGTTGGCTTGTTGAGCAGGCTGGATAAACCAGCAAATGTTGGGGGAGAACCTGTTAGAATCCTGGTCCTGGGCACCGTCATCATCATTGTTATCATGTTCATCACGGTCATCGTATGTCATCGTCATCATTATCATGGTTGTCTCCCGATCATCATCGTCGTCGTCCTCCTCCTCCGCATCATCGTAATAATAGTAGTACATAATGATACATATGTTATATATATATACATAATAAAATAGTAATAACAACAATAATAATTGTGTGTTCTCTTGATGCGAGACCACTTCACTTGCAGGGTTGTCAACATTATGGTTAGAAGCTCAGAGTATCTTATACATATAGTACATAGAGTGGCTGTTGGGTTTAGTGAGACAATTGAAGATAGATGAGGATATGTTCTGATATGTTGCTATAAATACAGAAATTATTCAGCAACAACATGCAACAACTGGACGCACAGACCTGTTCATTGAATTTGTGATCCATCTACTACTGTAGTCATTGCGAAGCCGAAACCCAGCTGCCTGTGACGGTTGCCCAAATTGCAGGAGTTGGACGCAGTGGCGCGTAGAGTGGCAGACACTTCGGTGGCCAATTTGGCGGACTTGGATCAACGTTTCAATCATGTAGAGGAAAAGTTTCTTGACTGAAATTCATATTCATCAGTATCAGATAGTAAATTCATGAGTATCAGTATCAGATAGTATCAGCCAGCTAGAAATCCTTGTCCTTCATGTGTATCGGAATTGTATGGAAATGTCAACAGCTTTGAGAAAGAAGGGCAGACACAATTGAATGGCCACCATGAAGGATCTTGTTGGCCTGCATGCAATTTTGATTGGTTTCCAGACACATCATATTTAGATATATTTAGTATCATGTTTTTTTTGCTGCTTTCTTCAGCCATGATGAGCATGTTCAAACTGGCTGCTGGTGTGAGAATAATGGGATCGCCGAGGCTTCGCCTTCTTGATCCTAAGGCCACAGCCGTAGCTGGTTCGAGTGTTACCACTAGCTGTTGGTTCGGATGTAGCTGGTTCCCTGATGATTAGAACACCCCTGGTGACAGGCAACAAATTACGATATACTGATATATACTGTACTAATGTGCTATTGTACTATTGTATTGGGTTCAAGAGTGATTTCAGAATGTTCTATGATACCTGTGAGAATGAATTACGAATGAAGGGGGATGGCCATCCTCCCAATATTCTCAGACAATATATGATATGATGTTTGTGACACGATTTATTAAGCCTCACTGTTTGACATCCCACAAGGCAAGAAGCGGTGCAAGGGATGCAGAGGCTATCAGGGAGATGAATGGGCCACGAGAACAGAGATGTTCAGTTTGTTTTTCAGTTTTAATGCAGTTTCGTCCGTGGTTTTGTTTCGGATAGTTGCAAACATGTTTGCCATGTCAAGATATGTCAAGTAGTTCTTTCAGTTCGAGATTGTATCACACCCAATGATGTTGGCCCGCTTCATACTTTCTTGCGAGTGCAGGACACCCCAGCTAGGAAGCCAAAGATGAATGCTGATGTACACTGATTTATGAATTATGGCATCACTGGACAGGCAAATTTACATCGGCTTGATGACGTCTTGCAGGTGCTTGGGTCCGGACTGGGTTTCCTCTGCGGGCAGAAAGATTTGGAGTATTAAATGCTAGCTGTAGTTGCAACATAATAGGAACAAAGAGATAAATAAGCGGTCAAGACTCTGGTAAACCATTTAAAAAGAGGGCTCTCTTGTGTCTGGAAAGTGCACCAAACACTGTGTAGCAATAGGCCCCCATGGGCCCCCCCTAAAAGCGATACCTATAATCGTGAGTAATGTCCACATTTGAAGCTGTTTCATACAAAGTTGGGTATGTGCAAGAGTCGATATTAGCGATACTCCTAGCGGTCCTAGCGATACTTTAGCGATACTTTAGCGATACCCATGCGTTCGAAAAGTAGACACCGACCACAGATAGACATGTTCCTTCTTTCCTTTCTGCTTCCTTGCCTCTTCGGGAATGCGAAACGCTGATTCCTTCTTCCTCTTTTCCTTTTTCTTTCCCTCTTTGCTCTTTCTTTCCTGTTCCTTTCCTCTTCTTTTCCTTTTCCGTTTCTCTTCTATCTTTATAAATGTACCATGTGTAGCGATAGCCCACAAAAAACGATATGTTTTCTTGGGAGCTTAATGGAGTTTAGATATGTTCTACGTATTCTAGATCTACTAGCAGCATTTTCAGCCTAGCAATAGCATGCAATAGCCACTGGTGGACGTCCTGCTTCGTCAGGAGGTGGAGATCATGAAGAAATGCCTGGAGGAGTTGGCCCAGCGCTTCGGTCAGGAGAGTCAGGACCGGGTTTCTACGCCGCCCATGCCGTCACTGCCAGGCTTAGCAAACTCGATAAACTATTTGACAAACAGGTACTCGTAATCATTGTCAATAGTCAATAATATATAATATTATGATAACTATTGTATATAATATTCAATAATGTTCTATATTTTTGAGCATTTTTGCATGGTGAACCTTTTTTTTTTGCGACACACACACACAAATTTGTCCAGTTTGTCAAGTTGTGGATGTAGGATGGCAAAGGATCCATGCGCCAAGCTCAGGGACCAGAGCGTTGCAGCGGTTCACTAAACCGATCGAAGCAAAACACCCTGAAACACCCTGAAAAATCATGGTAAAACATGGATCATGGTGAATCAATTGACAAATCAAGATGATATGTGTTTTTGTTTTTTTTTTCTGGTGATAAACGTAGCCTCTTGAGGTCACCGAGAAGCTTCCGTTTGCAGGTGTGGGGGTTGATGGGTTCGGTTGGACTGCCAAAAGGTCAAAAGGTGATTCAGCTACCATGGGAAAACCGTGGAAAACGACAAGAACATGTAATCACAATGTAATCACAGTTGATGATTGTCATGGCATAACATGTATAAATCATGTAAACACATCAGAAAATACACTATGAATCATTGAACCGTCATTATGAGTCATTATAGAAATTATATTATGAAAATTATACTTTTGCTGAGAATAACCACTATGAAGACTCGGAGGGATTCGACTCATCCATCTCATCCGACTGAGAGATTTCAGCGCAGGTGCAAGGCAGTGGACAGGCACAGCGCCGAAAGCAACCAGTGGAACAGTGGAATCCAACAAACAAAAACACCGGCAGTTTCTGTTGTGGGCAGCTGCTGTTCAACAAAAGCTCAACAGCACTATTTTATGGACACAAGTCAACAGACTTGGCCGTTTGCAACGTTTTCCAGGTGCCGAATTCAATCACAACCACTCCGCAGAACTCCTACGTCCCGGTGGCCACCAACTCTTGGGTGCGACAGCTCGGTCACCTGTTTTTTGCCACAGCCTGCCACAGCCGTTGCTTTTTAAAGACATTTAAAGGTTTTAAAGACTTTCAGAGTCTCTCCAGGATCAATGAATCAATCGATCATGATTTCAGTAGACCTGGCAGATGTTGGCTGTGCTATGGTTCCAAGGTGGCTCCCAGAGTGGTTGTCTCGTCCAGAACTCACAGGAATTGTGGAGCGCATCCAGACCGAGTCCTTTGCTTTTCGACTACGATGATACATTATATATGTTAGTTTCATATATACCGTATCATTCTGCCGATCAGACCGGCGAATCAGTTTAATTTGTTCTGATTCAAAGAAATGACGACATGGTTGCATTTGGTGCTTTAATCATCAGCGAGAAAGCATGCTGAGGCCAGTTGCAAGTCCGGCACCCCCTTCCAGAGAGGCACACCGAAGGGCAGCAAACTTTTGCAGTCATGCTTGTTCAACAAGAAATGTCATGAAATTGCAGTTAAGATAGTTGAGATGCTTTTGCCTATCGCTTCCGACCTCGCCAAAGTTTTGCCAAAAGACTATGCTTTTGCTGCAATTGGCTGCGATATTTGCGATGCTTCCACTTTTGAGCGAAGGTGTTAACTGCGCAGGTGCAGCGCCAGGCCTTAGCCGTCTCACGACAGCTTCAGCGTGGAACTTTTCATGTGCAATGAGCAATGTGTTTGCAATGAAACGATTGCCATGGAGATGGAAAAGATATGAACAGATTCATGAATTGTCAAGCTGCACTTCATATGGCATGAGAGATCATGAGAGAGCAAAGAGCAGATAGATCATGATAGATCTACGATGACGTATTTTTTTCACAAAGCAGATTTGCCATCAGATTTGCCATAGATTTTTCACATCAGATTTGCATCGTTTTTTTCAGATCAGAGCCCACTGAGCCCACTGAGCCCACTGCCACTGCCACGTGCAGATCACGGGGCCTCTTCCGACATCGCCTCAAGTGGTCAATCGCATCGTGAGATCAAGGCTGCAAGCTACACGCGGGGTAACATGGACTCCAACTACATCAATATACATCAATCGCATTCAATTACGACATGTTGTTAAATCATGTTAAATCATGTTAAATCGGTTGCAAATATGTGCAAATCAATGCGATGATATTCCAATATGTATCATTATTCTGCATATGTTTGCACATGTTTGCTTTGGGTCATTGCGTAGTGCGGGGCAAATTCCATAGCAGCTAAGCAGGTCATTGGCACATGTGGCACGATATACTGCGGGCATCTGAGGGCCTTGCAACACAGGCTGTCCACTTGGAAGTCCAATTACACCCTTGTTTATTTTCCCTTGCTTTGGAACAACAGAATTTCTAACAATGTTGATCAGACATATTGTATGTAGTACATTGTAGTACAGTGTATAATAATGTATTATATATATTATATATATTATTGAATTATATATATATTATTTGATGTATCTCTTTACATATATATATATCATTTTATATTATATATAATAATGTCGACACTTTTATTGCATTATCGGACAGACAACAGAAGCAGGTTCCTTCTCAAAATGCGTTGGAAGAACATAGAATATGGATGAGAACAGTTGAGCAAATTTTCAAACGACATCGCGAAACTGCCAGGTCTGTCCCGATGGTCCCTGTTGAAGCTGGTCTAATGTTGGGAAACTCTGCTGTGGCCCAGGCCTTAAGATTGGTTTCTGGATGTTTCTGATGCTTGAAAAGAGCTTGATTTGGTGACTGATGGATCCAGCCAGGAAGCTCCTAGATTCCTAGATACTATACTGCTCAGGGATTGGTTTCCAATTTACGGACTTTTTGGGTATATGCTGTGTTCAAGACGTTTTCTCTAACTGTCCAACATCTCATTGACAGATCTACGAGTCCCTTTGAGGTCAAAGTTGCAACCACCCCGCACTGGGCTTAATTTGCAATTCTGGTGCCAGATCCCAAGTCGCAGGTTACTGATTTTCCTGACGCCGTTCAACGATAATATTGAATATATATATATATATTGAATATATTGAGTAAAAAAATGCAAAGCAAACCCATATATTATATTATATTTATATTGATATATCATATAATGTCATATAATTATATTTTGTTTCAAAATGTTTCAACGGTGCTCATTCAGAAGCTCACGAACAAGTTAAGGATACACATTTCAAACGTAATTAGTTATAGCGTATCAACATCATTCAACATCTCCATTTCTCTTCCGCGAGGCCTGCTGGCTATGTGTGCTGGCCTCGGGGTTTCATGAAATGGAGAGAAATGGTACAGTGGGTACAAGCAGATGTTTTGCAGTGCACGAATGTAAGATATGTATCGGCTGGAACATGATAGTTTAGAATAGTTTAAATATGTTTAAAATTTGACCCTGCTTTGAAAAGTTGTGGCCTGTGCAATAAGCTGCTTTGAACAGTTTGATTTGAAGCAACTGAAAAACCCAAAAGATGCATCAAGTCCTGACCGCAGTCTGAAGCCAAAATGCTGTGCTCAGTCCACCTCGCAATGTCCGAGTGGTACAAGCAGCACGAGCAGTGCGCCGCGCATTGACCAAGCCAAGTGGAGCTACCAATCGCAGATCAGCGCTTCAAGGCATATTACAATTATATATTATATTATATAATTGATTAGATATAATTGTCTAGATTTGTGTGTGTTCCACAGATTTCCACTGTCTATAGTGCATCACAATTGTAATGCATGTTTCAATTCGTCATTGAAAAGGGTCCTGGCTTAAAGCGCTGATCTTTGAAACAACAACAACTTGGCAGTGAACGCCCAATCGGAAGGTATCGCCCCCTCCAGTTCCGTTGTTGGGAACTTAGAGTGTCAACTCGAAAAGAGATCAGATCCTATACTTTGTTGCAGCATGTCGCAGCTAGTATTGCTGTATTTCAAGAGTGTCCTGATATATATGCTATATGATATATTATATAGATTATAGAGTCTTATGAATCATAGCAGTGATTTTACATGTTTTACTCTTGCTGTAGTGAGTGTAGTGGTCAGAGTTTCTAAGTCTCTTGGATGAAGGGTGTTCAAAATATTTCTTTAATGGTTTCATGATTCCCTCTGTGTTTTTTTTAATGGGTTCAAATTGTGGATATGGATTTCGATATGGTTTTGGGTACGATTGGAAAAAAAAAACTTATGAATATGTTTCTTTACCGTTTCGGGTATGGTTTTGGATATGTTTTTTAATGGTGTTGGATATGTTTTTTGATGGTTTTTACACGTTTTTTAAATGGTTTATGGTTAAGGGCTGGAAAATGCTGGCAAGGCTTCTTGGAAAGGGCAACACTGCCAAATTCGGTTCAAATTGAAAAAATAAACATAAATTTCTCGAGTTTTTGGCTAAAAAACAGATTCTGCTGGGTACCTTGATGCCATTTACGATTTTTTAACGATTTTGATACAATTTGCTAAAAATCAGATTCTAGGGTGAGAAAAGCTTCTTGGAAAGGGACACCAATTTCAAAACATACCCAAAATAATCCAAAACAATATCAAAACAATATTCAAGACCATATCCAAAACCATAAAAAAATTGTCCATTTTCTTATGGAACACCATTTAAACAAGAACACTAAAAACATATCTGCAAATCATAAAGAAAACATATTAAATTCATCAACGAAAATGGCATCCTAGAGGATTTAAGAAGTCTGAACTGTAGTGGCTGGAAGCTTCACCTCCGCAGGGGGGATTTATCTTCGATCAACTCGTACTGAGGCAGCGAAGTGCACCTCCTCCGGACTGGTTGAGAGTTTTGGTCAACGATTAGGTCTCCAAAATCCAACCGTTCATCATTCATCATTGCTTTCCCATACTTCCCCCGTTAAAATAGTTGTTTAAGATTTGTTTAAGGTTGTTGCCCCATTTTCAGACATCCATATTTGGAAATACTGTCATGTCATTGCGCAATTTCCGGAGTAGTGTGAACGACTAGACTCAGTCCCCTGTTGACTGAAATTCGGCAGACATTAGTAAGAGGATGTAAGAGGGCTGATTGACGACTGCTTTCCCACTGCGTACATGATTTGGCGATATTTGGCGGACATAATGCGTTTGCTCGATGTTCTGCTCAACAGATGTGCTTGCAATAATATGCATATATTGTTATCATATTTTTATACACGTAATTATCATAGTTTCATAATGTTTCATATTGGGTTGGATCTTCAACCTTAAGCAGTCTCAAGAACCGCAAATGGATTGCCAGTCTTTGGGGAGGATTCGCCCTACGTGCGGTATAGAGCAGTAAGGCTACCTGCATCGTCCTCAGACTCGCAGTTGGAGAGGGCTGGCCATGCATTTTGAAATTGGACAACCAATGTGGGAACTGGACGTTTAGGATCGTTTAGGATCGTTTAGGATCGTTTAGGATTGTTCATGGGTACTTGCAGAACATTTGATGATGCAATATAATATGATGCAGTATTATAGTTTTCTAGTTGCCCCTACCGGACATTGAATTGCGCCTGAGGCTTCCAGTGTGTTGACAAACCATCGCCGACGATGACCCAATGGAGGACAAACCGGCGGCCTCCCCTGGGCGATACAACATGATATCATGTGATAGAGTGGAAATGAATTGTGTGTTGGAGGTGGCAAACATATTAGTGTTGTATCATTTCGTAATCTTATTAAGTACATATTTTTACATGATGAATCATGATGTCACTCCGATAGACATAATGATCTATAATCTATATGCTGTAGAACGGTGTAGGTATGGATCATGCCAAATCTGCAGACTCAGAGAAACCAGCACCATGATAGGAGGGCAAAAGGACTTGGCCGCTTGGCCGGTGTGTGTCTTCAGTGGTGAAGGTTTTCGGCGTTCTCCTAGTGTTTGATTATGTTTGTTTAACAACCACCAAAGACAGTTTGCCGAGGATTCTTCCTCTTTGCAAAGATTTGCCATCCATAGTTGCAAGAGCCAAGTTCACGATGTTCACGCCAGAGAGCCCATGGCAGGATCGAATGGCACTCTTGTGCGTGTGGTGAGTAGTTCAGGCTGTAGTGGCCTTAGTTTCAAGATGTTTGAAGTTGTGCTTTGCTTTGGGCCAAACGGAAGTACTGATCCTATTTGATTTCGCATGCTGTTAAATAGCAGCCGGAAGGTGCGTATCCAGAAACTTCACAGCATAAGCCTAGTGTGGATGTGATGTTTGCTATGATAGCAGATTATGTTATAGTCAAGTTCGTTCAAACAAAATTCTATGTTTTGAACAGTTTTCAACTCTCCAACATTCTCCAACTAGACTTGATTCCGGAGCATTGCATTGTCCAGACTTCAATATCGATAACATCAGATCAATTCCAGAGTGATGTACAATCAGACCTGAAGATCGGGTCGGATCGCTTCGAATCTCAAGAAGGACAGCGGTGTCCAGTTTTTTGTTTGACTCTAGCAGAGTACCTTTCGATAGGTGTGACATGGTGTGACATTTTGTGTATCATATATGAATGTTGCAATCACAATCAAAATATCAAAATGACACCAAGAAATGTCTAGAAGCCGCCAATGTTCCAACGGCAGCAGAGGATCCCAGTGATAGGAACAAGATGCGACAAGTCAGTTCGAAAAGCCAACGAATCATGGGATCCAGGTATGCCATAGTGGCTAAGTTCGAGCTTACCACCTGACCATGGTGGAAGGTTCAACTTGTTGCCACCCTTTCCAATGCTGATGTAATGTCAACTGATGTCAACTGTCTATGCTGAGCTTTGCTGCATATGGCAGTATTTGGCAGTCCACAGGGATGCATAGCAGTGTCGGAATAGCAGCGCACTAAAGCGTTTTGTGCAGCGCTGTGGGGGTTTAGTAAAGTTTAGTAGAGCATAGACGCACAAAGTAGAACAGTCCAACATTTGACCTCGAGAAGTTTGCCACTCAGCACTCAGCCTGATCATGACAAGTGGTTTGCCAACGGTTTTGTCAACTTGATTGCTGGTACTGCAAAACAGGTCCTTAAAGGAAAGTTGGTTTGCCGTTGAGTTGCAATTTCCTGCCTGATTTTGGCTGCCATATGCGAGCATAAACAGTTTGCCCCTGTTTGCCCTTTCTCTACAGAATAATCAGCGCATGTTCAGACTTACGTTGAATTTCCAAGCCCAACAGCTGAAGACAACAACACCAGTGTGACTGTGGCCAGCAATGGCAGCTCCTCCTGTGGGGTGACCAAGGACCATTTGCCACAAGGAAGTTAAGAAAAACACCATAGTCACCAAAGGAGGATCTTTGCTTCCCCCTCATAGTGCGCATGAGCGAGAGATGTGACTTTTTTCCGATGACATGTAAAGTAAGATGCTCCCTGTGAAGCACATTAAAAATCATTATATAGATGTACACCCACCGCTTTCTTGTAGCCTGCCTGGAAAGCTCTTGGTGCATTGGTCACTGGACATCAAGTGGCAGTTTGCAACTCCATGCAAAACAATTTTTAAATAAACACATGCCATAGCACATGGGACAGAGATTGCTCTTCAGGGACTTCTCCCACTCAGGCAGCAGAGCATCTTCTCGCAGTATCATGTACTCTATGATCTGTATGTCAATTTGTATCTCAAGACATGTTTCATTATTTTCCATCATGTTCCATCATTTTCAATCATCAATTTTGTTGATTCAAGCCACACTTCAGCCATCTTCAGCCATTCCGGAGATTTCTCCATCCGCGCCCAGGGACACCGACAGACCACCGTTGGGGCCAGACAGACCACTGGTACCGCTGGCAGCGCTGTGTCCATGGAGGTCGATCCAGACGTCCGGGAGCTGCGGAGGAGATCCGATGGAGAAACAATGGGGAAACCATGGAGAAACTGGATATTGATGATATTGATGACAGATTTGGATAGATTTGGGGGATTTTGGGGGATCTATTGAGATATACTTGGGGGAGATTTTAAGGATGATTGAAGGAGGACATGCTGCTATACTCTTGAAACATTTGAAACGCGAGGCGATGGGATTCATCACCATAAGGACGTTATGGAAAAAGATATCGACAAAGACTGAACAGGATTGAAAACAATTGAAAAGGGGAATTTGCGCCATAGAAGTACTGACTCGGGTCATCGAAGGAAGTTTAGAAGTCAAATTTCCGACAATATGGACAGATGGAAAAGCAGAGGTGGGAAGAGTCAGAGAAGAGAAGAGAAGAAGAGAGAAGATCAGAGAAGAGAAAGAGTCAGAAGAAAGAAGATCCAGGTGCGCGAAAAGGTAGGAAAGTCGAGTAACACTGTGCTTTTGCAATGATTTGTGGCTCCGGAGGGTCGAAAAGTAGGCTCGCTAAAACGGCGGGTGCGGAGCAATCTGGCCAGATGAGAGATGAAAAATTGCACGCCGTTGCGGCGCGAAGCACATTTCGAAGTCAAAATGTACAAAGCACCTCAGCTTCGGAGCACTTTTGGAAGTTGAGATGACGAAAAAGTGCACGCTGTTGTGGCGCGAAGCACATTTCGAAGTCAACATGTACAAAACACACCATTCTCATACCACTCTTGGAAGTTGAGATGTTGAAAAAGTGCACGCCGTTGTGGCGCGAAGCCCATTTCGAAGTCAAAATGCACAATAATTACACACCACGTCCGGACCACTTTTGGAAGTTGAGATGTCGAAAAAGTGTACGCCGTTGTGGCGCGAAGCACATTTTGAAGTCAAAATGTACAAAGCACACCACGTTCAGAGCACTTGTGGAAGTTCAGATGTTGAGAAGGTGCACGCTGTTTTGGCGCGAAGCACATTTCGAAGTCAAAACTGTAAAAAAACTCACGGGTTCGGAGCACTTTTTGACATTCAGATGTCGTTTTCCGTGGAAGGCGCAAGGGATTCTGCACATTGCCAAAAGTGGGCAAAAAGTGAGGGTTTTGTAGCACAACCACCATTAAACTATACTACATTACACTACACTCCACTACACTACAACTACAACATACTACAACTACAACAAACTACAACTACACCTACACTACATTACACTACACTCCACTACACTACATTCAGTTACACTGCACTGCACTGCACTGCACTACACTAACTACAACGACAACTACAGCAACAGCTACAACTACATTACACTACGCTATACTACACTACACTAATTACACTACACTACACTCCACTACACTACACTACACTGAATGACACTACACTACACCTATACCTACAACTACAACTGCAACTACAACTACATTACATTACACTAATTACATCACACTACACTACACTACACTACATTACACTAACTCCGACTACAACTTCAACTACAACTACATAAGACTACACTACACTACGCTAATTACACTACACTACACCCCACTCCACAACACTACACTACACCTCACTACACTACACTCCACTACACTACAGTCACTACAGTATACTACACTACAACTACACTACACCACAACACACCAGACCACGCTACGCTACACTACACTACGCTACACTAACTACAGCTACAACTACAGCTACAACTACAACTACAACTACAATACATTACATTACATCACACTACACTACAACTACACTACACTAATTATATTACACTACACCACACCACACCACACAACAGTACACCACACAACAGCACACCTCACAACATTACATTACATTACATTACGTTACGTTACGTTACATTACATTACACTACACTCATTACACCACCACAAATGCAACTACACCACCACTACAACTCCACTACACTACAACTGCAACTACAACTGCAACTACAGCTGCGCTACACCACTACATCCAGCAGACGTGGGTGAGGTGACCGACCAGGTGACCACTGCAACCACTGCAACCACTCCAAAAAACACAGCTCCAACCACCTTTCGGTCCATCAGTGGATTCGCTCTGCCATCCGTGACTCACAACAACCAACCTCTCCTATAGGTTTCCTATTTTTGAAACTTCCGCCACCGCCTTGCGCGGCACTACTGGTAGAAATACTGGCTCGGGGCTCTAGACACCTTGACATACCTCGATCCGTGTTTGCTGCATACCACGAGGAAGCAGACGGAGATGGTTCAAGCGATGCAGAGCAAAAAAAAAGGCTTCAAACTGGATGAGCCTTGCATTTCCAATATCAACTGGGGACCTGGATTGCGCACATCTGATTTGCTCCCGCGTTGGGTTTTAGAATTGGCTCAGGGTTTGAGAATGATTGTGCAAAAATGTCATTGCCTTTTTTAATTATGTTTTATTCACTTCAAACTGTATTCGAGTAAAGTATAACTAGTATGATTCACAGGCAAAATGGTTTCTTCTGAGTGTTTTCAATGCAATTTGCATCGATTTGTCAGTGAATTCTAAACCAGTTTCTAAAATTCAACTTCAAGTTTGGAAGCACACAGTTGCCATGATCAATATCCAATGTTAAATGTCGTTTTGAGTTTAGTCAACTTCAGTGCTTGCAGTAAATACTATTTGACAACCTTGGGAGAACCTGTTCCACCTATGCTGCTGAGGACGTGGCCAATCTGGTCCTTTCCATGCATTCAGATTTGAACGCCACGCGTGATGAGTGTGATCCCAAGCTTGGACGCTATATTCTAAACGATTTCAAAGAGGATAGCAGAAATATATGTCAGCAGCATCTTATTTTGATAGATTTCATCACTATTTTATCTTTATGTCAAGAAGGCTGCCGAATGGGTTGGATTCGGATGTTTAATTTGACACTATTCACGTTTGTTGCATGTCACAACATACGAGTTATATATGTTTTATTGCATAGAAATTTATACATCTCTCCCATGGTCCTGGTGGATAGGTGGGTGGGTGTGATGGCACTCAGTTAGTCTACCATCATACCCTGCCATTCATACTCTGCCATTCACTCTGCAATGGGGGAAGCGAGGCCGTATAGTTGCAGTAGACTGTAGCTATATTAAGTTTGTTTATGATTCGCAGTTGCTTATTCAATGGTAGGGCCAGATTCCAAATCCTGAAGACACTCATCAAGACAATTTAAAGCCAAAGCGTAGATATGGAAGTTTTGCTCAAAGTCATCTGAAAAGAACTGCTCACTTCGCTCACATCTCTACATGTTTCGTAGATGTTTGGCAACCAGCATCACAGCTAGCAGCTAGCATTCTCAAATAGAGTCCAGAAATGTCCAGAAATCATCAAACAATATCAAACACACCACCCCAACCCATCCAATCCCCCTCTGAAAGAAAACTTCATGGTGCTTGGTAAATTCCCTGAGGTTGCAGCGCTACATCTCCATGTCTGACAAGCAACTGCCAGCGCCTGAGTGTCGTGTGGCCTGTGTGAGGACAACATAAAATCATATATAATCATATACTGTATATATAATTAGACAACATATCACAACATAGAATACACGTATGTATTTCTATTTAAAGAATTTAAAAGACACATAATGCATATAACAACAATAGCAATCGAGAATATTTCAGCAGGCATGATGACGCAATGATATGGTCAGAGTAATAGTATAGTCAGCTGTTGTCAACTGTTTTCTGTTGGTTTTGCCAGGTCAGAACGCTTACAAGATGGCGTGACGAAGCTATCGGTGTTTCAACAGAACCTGGAGGCAACTGCATTTGACCTGGCAGCCAGGTTCAAAATCAGGTGCAGAATGGTGTTTGATGAATGGCATTGTTTGCACTATGCATCTAAGAATCTATGTGTTGTTTGGGTTCCTTCAAACTTCGTGCCCATGGACTTTCTGATCACCCCTAGATGGTGGTGACCTTTTGGATTCTGATTAGAGTGGAAAATCACCAGAGATTTTCTTGTAATTACATGGGTTCCATCACATTCCATCACAGGCCAATGATCGGTCAATCGTCGACATGCACCAGAAACTGACAGCCAATGATGAGCGCCCCTGGGCTGAGGATGGCTGAGGTCAGTGTTCCACTTCCAAGATGTTCAACAGCCAACTTGTTGCTGGTAAATCTCGACATATCTCGACATATCTCGACATAAAGGGCACATCTGGATCCACAAAATGATTTGCATCGCCAAGGCCTGCATCAGCTTGCCATACAAACGGCCAAAGACATTGAGGAGTCGCCTACACCTCAGATCCTTGCGAAATGGCTTCGAACTGGGACTATGACTCGTGACGAATCGAAGCAAGTGGATTCAACATGATTCAACTAAATCAACAAAGAAGTGTTAAATTTGATGAACATAGCTAAAATATGCTAAAGTATGCTAAAATCATCTAAAATCAACATGTGAATTTCAGTGTCAATTCAATGGATCAATTTTGTTAAATTGTCAATGAACATTTGCTAAAATCCAATGCAATGTCTGAGTCCCCAGGGCGACCTGAGGTTGAACAATCGAATGCAGGCCTTGCAGGACAAGATGGATCAAGAGATGCAGTGCCTTGGAGTTTCCAGAAGGGACCTATAGGGACCTCAATATCTACATAATAAATGTATATATATATATATACGTATATTGATATACATTGTATATATTCTGTAATCTACATGATACAGTAATATACTCAAAATAAGATGATACTACGACATGTTGATACATCAAGACTTCCTGATATACATGATGTGATATGAGATATGTATCATGAATAGTGACTTCAATTTAAACATATGTTCTCAGTTCTCGCTTGAGAGTGTGGATCTTTGCTGCTTGTTCCTGTGCTGTCAAACTACGAAACACAAAAAGCACCGCACAAGGATGCACTCATTCCAAAACTATACGGCTTGGAATCACCTCGTAGTAGATTCCTGGCCGACCAGTCTTCCCGAGTATAAACGTTACCGCATTCTGAAGCCCTTGCTAAGAATGATAGAACTACGGATTTTCGATCTATATCCACAATGTCATATTCTTTATCAATGATATCAATGTTGAATAATAACAATCAATAACAGATAGTAACTACTATCAGATAGTAAGTATATGAATAACCATCAATGATAGTTGCCATTAATAACACATAAGTAACAATCATCAATATCCATTAATGACCAATAATAACCATTAATAACCATCAATGACCATCAATAAACCATCAATGATCCACTGCCAAGGCACAAGGCCAATCAGTTGCAGGAGCTCTTCGAGACCATGGACCTCACGCGCTGCTGGGATTGGCGACAGCTTGCGACCCCCCAAAATGTCGATATCGCCACAATTGGGTCATATCATGGATTATAGATTATAAAATGATTATACATGATTATAATACGGGTCTGATATTTTACTGTGTAATCATTAGTCATATATGATCATATATGTTTATAATTGTTTATACTCTAGAAGACATGTCTATGTATATATATACATTATGATACATTATGTATGATGATATGTGCATAAACATGTTAAACATACAGTCTCAAATATGTGCACGGCACCGAGGTCGTCAGCTCATCGCCAAGGAAGCCTTGCTGCGCAACGAGTCACGCGTCTTGTGGGGTGTCTCAGATGTCTCAGGTTATGGCCACGGCTGTGGCCAGCTTGGTTAATGATGGCTTTTGGTGGGTATATAATATAATCTAATTATATATATATATATATATATTATACTACTATATAATATATGATAAGTCAATATAATGTATTGGTATGTATATAATGTATTGGTATGTATATAATGTATATCTATTATATATAAATATATTATAGTACTGTTACCCACAGACGCCGTGTGTTGCCCAGACATTACCATTGAGAATGTCGTGTTGTCGAATACATGATAGGAGAGATTGCAGAAAATACTGCGTATACGCAGTGTTTTCCAGTTTAGGATTCAAAGTTTTCAGAGCCTAGGTTTTAGGGTTTAGAGTTTTAGGGTTTGGGATTTTAGGGTTTGGGGTTTTAGGGTTTAGGATGGTTTAGGGTTTTAGGGTTTAGGGTTCGTCGTCTGGGAAATCTCAAAACACTGGCCCTGCGCAGTGTTTGAGCATGTTAAAGGATAATGGTTAAACATGTTTAAACGCCATTTGAACCTTCCGGGCAACACACAGCGCCTGGCCGTACTATTATGTACATATAATATACATATATACTGTCCATTGCCTTAGTATGAAGAATATTGAGAAAAAGAGGAATGTTATAATTAATACAGACGGTCATTTCCACAGCCATCGAACCATCGAGATGGCAGCTCTGGACCAGACGGACTGAACTGATGATGGTGATGCAACATGACATGCGTGGTTTCTCAGGATGCGCAAGAACAATGAACTCATCACGGGGTCCCTGAAAGCTTCAGAGAAGGAGATGCAGCGATGTCAGTGGCTGGTTTTGTTCCTTGTCCAAGCGGAAAAGGTGGCAGAATCCAAGAGCTTCAAGAGCGGAATGCTCCCAGCTATTCAGCTATTCTATGTTTCATAGTTTCCCTACTGCATGGCAAGATAATTTGTTCACTATGAAAGCAGCACAGAATGAAACAGACAGCGACGTTACCCAGAAAGGCAGCAAGGGATGTCCGCAAGAATGCAAGGATCGCGCAGGATGTTATTGCTATAGTTGCTCAAATTCCATGGAGCGCACCCTATTTCTACATTGATCACATTGAGCCCGTGATCAAGTTTACCTCTTGAGCTGTTCACTCTCTGGATATCCTCCTTCTATTAAACTGCTCCAGCTTCCAAGCTTGAACAATTATCCCACGAGAGCACAACAGGAGACTCGAGAGTATCTTCTGAGTGTTGCAACCTCAGAGGTTTGCATTATTGCTGCGGAAGCATTTGAAGGGGCTGAAGCCCCCTTTTTCACCCAGTTCATGTTCACACACAAACCTCCAATATACTGTATATTTATACTGTGTGTGTTTATCCATCTTATTTCCATATATTTCAAAGATGAACTGATATTCACATGATTTTATAGTGGCATGGTTAGGGGTATGTTGTCCTGGAATCTACGATGTGAGCTTGACGGGCGCTTTGATTCTAGAGAAATTAATGTCAAGCTCTAAACTTCTTAGACAACTTCCAGCTTCTCTGTAATGCATTACAGTAAGTCCTTTTGCGGCTTCATGAGTTGAAAGGCAGAGAAAAGGCAGTTGTTCAATCTCAAAGTGAGTTTGTGATAATCTTGGGTGTTTGTTTTTATAAGCTTAGCGTTTGTAGCGCACAGATTGACAGTTGCCTTTTTCCAAGGAGTTGCATAGCACTGCGGACCGCTTGTCGAATGTTCAGGCAAAGCAAAATCTGGCATTGTGGCTGGTGTTACAAACTACAAACAGTACAGTATCTTTTGATTAGATGAGAAGTGGAAGAGGGCTGGGACAATCCAGCTTGTATTTGAAGCGAGGTGTCTTATAATTGATGTTGATTGATTGAAGTTACTCCAGTCGTTTTACGCAAAGCCCTCATTGAGACTGGAAATGTTGTCCTCAAAAAGGCAACTCAATACTGATCTCTTTGGTCTTTTGGCCATAGAGAGCAGTTTCAAGTTGGATTCGCCGATTTCACTGCATTTTCAAACATTGCCACGGTGTTCCAGGCAACTTGTGAAGAAAATACTTGCGACCGGATGGACAAGGCCTCCGTGCTCCATGTCTCCCTGGAAGAATTGACGTGTCCAATTGTCGTGGTGTCTCTAAATTGGTGATGTCAATGTCCATTAAGTCACACTGTTGACATAGCACACTGAAGCGGCTCCTGATGCGAATGATCACAAGGGTCACAACGCTTCATTGTGGCATGTGTCCAACTACCACTGGCTCCCGCGGGCTTCAGGCAGATCGCTTTGCCAACGATCTCCACAGAGACCTGACGTTGTTGATGGAGAAGGCCCATGTTTCATTGACGGCACAAAGAATGCGCGGTTGACTAAATTATTCAAATTAATTATATCTAATAATATTAGAGAGAGTTGATGGACTTTTCACTAGGCTGTTTGAGCATTATTGACATGAATATGCAACAATATGACAAACTTTCAGCAGGACCTAATGCAGTTTCCTTGGCCCATTTGCTTTTTTTGCTGCAAAGCCTCATTCTCACGACTGGTTCGATTCTGGATCAGAACCAGATCATGTACTTCTCCAATTCCCTGAACCATCCTGAACCTGAAGACAGTTGGCACATAGCTTGAAGACAATCATGCGGGGTCAACATGTTTTTCCGTGAACATTTCTGTGAGGTGGCAGCAAACCATAGGGCTTTGGAGGAGAGACCAGGGCTGCAAAAAGTACAAGAAACGGTGGGGTGTTCGATTTGTTTGTTGCCCCAACAATCCAAGGATATCCTGTCGGTTGCCTGCTCCAGGATCTGGTTGGCCACACATCCATTGAGTTCACAAACAGAGAAAACAAATTGCGTTGCATCCTCAAGCATTGTTCTGGAGAAAGTACTGTATACAGTAGTATACAACATTGTAGAGGCCAAACCAGCCGCACAGAATTGTACTGAACTTCATAGCATTTTGATTTCAATGCAATGATGAAGCTGTATATCCATGGTACATTTATAGGTCAGCAGTGTTTGAAGTGCCTGCTCCGAACTTAAAATCCGATCAACTACTGAATTATGAAGTGAACATGAATTTACTATGCACAGTTTATGATGATATGTCATATGAAAGATTCGCCAAAGGAGGTGATAGGCATGGAAATGGCCCTGTGGTTTTTCATCCTTTCCTTTTGCCTTTGGCTTGCACCTGAGAGCCATCCAGGCTATGACCACGGGAAGCAGCTTAGTGACTTGGAGGCTGTCACAACTGCATGTTCACAGTAAAGAAGATATAGAAGTCAAGACTGTCCAACCTTTCTCAATGTATTTTGGTGCAGTTTTGAATTTATATCATGTTGATGCATTTCACGTTAAGACAGGCTCTGACAAACTGACCCTAGGCAGTCTGAAACGGTGGTGTAGAAACAGATTTTGAGTCGAGTTGTTCCTCTTGGAGTGTGGAGGCCAGAACCCACCGCCTCTCCAATGTTATCAAGGAGGCAAACGGACATAAACGGACAGCTTTTGCTGATGCAAGGGGCAGTAAGAGCCACGATACAGCAATGTAGAACATTCTATAAGTATGCGTGGTTTTCTACTTCTGTCCGCTCTCTGTTCTTGTGTCCTCCAGGTGGAAAATATCCCAACCAGGCGGGTTGATTGGCACATCAAGGACTGCAGTTTTTAGAGTCTGGAGCTGAAGAGTATTGTATCCCACACCGCGATGAATGAAAGAGCATAGTGTTGGAACTTGGGCAGTGTGAAGATACATGAAGATACATGACCCTTTGCCAAGCCCAACCAATGGTTTCATATGTTTCCATATTTGCATCCAAGACTCCCATTGCGAACCAGGACGCCTCCGTTCAGCTGGCCAAATTGGCTCAGAAGAGTGACCTGGTCTCGCGGGGGATCCCAAGGGTGAGCTGCATCTACTATCGAGTTCAACATGATTCAACAATTTCATTGGTGTGTGTGTGTGTGTTCAAGTCTTCGCTTTCATGCTTTCATGTTCATTTTCTCCTCAGAATGGGAGCCTTGGACTTTGTGAATTCAGGACACCTCCTGCTTGGGTATCTCCAATCTTTGAGGCGTTCGGGAGAAGCAATAAATGAGAAGGGTGTGAGAGGACGCTCCCAAAACACTTGACGTAATCCTTCAGGATTGTTCTGAAGTGGACTTAACATGCCTCAACTATCACTGACCATCACCATTCATGTGCGGTTTTGCGAGTATGGTGCTGTGGGGGGGGGGCAGGGCGTTCCATTAAATCATGCCAGCCGATACACACAGACACCCTCACAAGCACTTTGCCACGTCTTGTACTGGCTGGACATCCAACTTACCGGAGGCAGCAGGTGCTCATGACCTTCAGATGGAGCTGCGGTTCCTGAGGTGCAGCGCTGTCACGTGGCGTCTGAGAATGGGGGATTTCACTGCTTTTACCACCAAAATGATCCAAGATACTCACTTGATGCGGGAGAATGGGGATTGACCACTGGAATTTGGGGTAAGTACCCAATTTCCAGACAAACCCATAAGATATATTAAGATAAAAGATGAATGAAGAGTAATGTTATGATTTAAGTAGCTATGTACTCAGAACTCAGAACGGTTTTCACATATCAGAGGTTTTTGCTTGGAGAAAACAATGGATATACCCCCTGAATTGCAAGGCCTACAGAAGTTCAAGCAGACCAAGATCAAGACTCCATGGCAACGCGGGGAGACTGCGTGCCTCGGTTTTGCAGCTGCCCTTAATGTTTTCTAACGCATGAATCAGGCAATAATATGGATGGTGTTTTTGTGTTTTTTAACCACTGCTAGGCTAGGTATCTGAAGTGTTTCCCAGAAAGTTTGGTGAGTTTTGATCCTAAGATTGATAGGATCCTAAGGTCCTGGAGCAAGTTTTCCCAACTGTTTCGTCGAGGTGTTAGCCTTGAAGGGCGATCCTGGGCTCTTTGTGGTGTGCAGACTCTACGTAGGCTGACGGGCTCACTGTTGATCCCTCAAAATGTGTACCACTGTACCATACTCACGAGATCTCACGAGATCTCACGAGTATGATATGTAACGCAGATGCAACTTGGAAAGCTTGGACTCAGATGGGTGCGGACATGTTTTAATCACATAAAGTGGATTGATGTTGAAAAGGACTGCATTGGATTTTGGTTCATGTGTTACAAGACGAGCGCAATTACAAACTTCAAAATGTACATACATATATATATATATATTGTATATCTAGGCAAGATTATGATGCAATGGATTATGCAGGTAAAATTGTGCTGCCATTATACGACCCTATTTCGGCTTGACAAGCGCGCATTTGCATCATGAGCATTTTCTTCACGCAGTGCCCAGCACAGGCACTGCATTTGCTCAAGTAGAGCACACCTTTGGAGATGATGGCCAGGCAGTTTGTGCGGATGCTTAGAGAAACTACGGAGAGGAGCGTTTCTCAGGTTGCATGCTGGAGGTTGGCCAGGTTCATCCAGTGGATTCCATCATACTCAGCCCTGCAACCCCCCCTCCCCCCTCATGGTCATGGTCCTCAATGTACGCTGTATGTTGGAGGCTTTGTGTCGGATATAGTTGACATGTCGCTAGCATATAAACGATCGATGTAGGGTCTACGTTAACCCCGCCCCCCCTGTGGGGTGGGTGGGGGCTAGGTAGCGTGTCACTGGCACAACTATATAGTGTGTATAAAGGCAGTAAGTAGGGTGGGGTGCGGTATCATGTAGATAGTGTATAGGTAGTATGTGGCTAGCACGTATGTATAGCGCATGAGATCTTGATAGTAGCTAGTATATGGCCACTCTCAAGGTACTGGCCACCCCCGTGGGGGTGGTTGCTGGGGGGATAGCATTGGGGGGGGGGTTGTCGGGCGCCGGGCGGGACCATATACAGTATATCATATATACGCATATATATTCTAGCATGCATTGATAGCCCAGCAGCTGGGTGCTTCAATGATTCTTGAGGCACCAAGCCGGTTTGCTTCATCCGTGACCAGATCAACGAGAAGGCACTCAATGGTTCAACTTGTACAGAAGCGACACCTGTTGTTCAAGTTGCACAGCAATTTGGTTATGTCTCAAGATCATTGACCCCTTAAGCATATGTGGATTGATAGTTTCAGTACTAGAATACTATCTAGAAACGACCACATTTGCACCACTGATACCATTTATAACCTATTTTTGAGCTATACCGATAGACCCAGTAATCCTGTTTGTCCCACAGCATATTTCAGGATGGCTCTTTGGTCGTCGGCTTTGAAGTTCTTGAGGCAGAAGCATTGGGATCGTGGCCAAGATAGCTGCATTGGGGGTCCCTGCAGTGCTTGCAGCATGGTTTGTGAACTAAGTCACAGCTTTGTCCCAAGCACGCGAAGGCAGTAAAGATGGTGAAGCAACAGAATATTTGAGTCATCAAGAGCCCCTATATATCACGAGTTGTTGTGAAGCAGTGTCCGAGGGATCCCATTCAAGTGTCAATGCTACAGAGCTGAAACGGTTGAATTTTCTTGAAATTACATCATGGATCTAGTTGGAATCTGCTGAGAACGTGGTTTTAGGTTTCATGATCAAGTTGGCGAGGCCATTCGTCGCGCCAGAAAGGATAGCCCTGCGAAGGTTGGCACATGCGCTGATGTCTTCGGCCAATTTTTACCCAAGTGCAGCTGCGTTGAAAGAAATGGTTGTTGGAACAGGTTGGAACAGGTTCGCAGCCAAATATGAGATACAGTGAGAATAAGCGTAAACTACTTTAGTAAGGAGGGGCGCAGTTGTGCGAAAGTGCACCAAGCATCACCAAGCCATGTAAAGCGATAGGCCCCCCCAAAAAATGATAACTTGTAACTTGTAATAATATATGAGAGTGCATTGCACTTGGTGTAAACCAAACAAATATTGTGGTGTACGTTCACGCCATGGGCAATTTTTTGAAGAAAATTGGACCTGCAGTGCCTGTGTTTTTGCAGTTGCCATATCATGTGTTGTCCAAGAAGATTGAACCGTTGCTTTCTGCAGGTAGTTTGCTTGATTTCCATTTTTTTCCCAGGTCCTAAAGCAGTAGAATCAAACTAAAGTAAATGCAATTGAATTCTGAATTACTGTAAATACTGTAAATCAACATGGATTTAAAATCTCGGCTGCAATTTATTGGGCGAACACTGCGAAGTGACCACAACAAGTGTCAGGAGGAGGCTGCACCAGAGCGCTGTAGCCTGGGTGGAGAGATGTTGCTGGAAACTTGGTCATTTCCGAAAGACCTCAACCCGATGCCAAATGTTGCAACATGCACGAAGCATATCATAACATAATCAGTCATAACATATCTACTAGACGACGGATGGCCCGAGAGCGTAGAGGAGCAGAGTCTTCTGTTGTTAGTATGGAGACACTATATTACAAGATAATATATTAAAGATGTATTATAGGCAGACGAGAAGAGTAGTATCAAGACAATATATGACTAGTACAAGACAATAGTTTGCATCGTATTTTTGTAAAGTTGTTCATACACAGAACTTTTTACAGACAGACGCTTTTGCACACAGAGACTTTTACACACAGAGACTTTTACACACAGAGACTTTTACACACAGACGCTTTTACACACAGACGCTTTTACACACAGAGGCTTTTACACACAAACACTTTTACACACAAACACTTTTACACACAGACGCTTTTACACCCAGACGCTTTTACACACAGACGCTTTGACACACAAACACTTTTACACACAGAGGCTTTTACACACAGACGCTTTTACACACAGACGCTTTTACACACAAACACTTTGACACACAGACACTTTTGCACACAAAAGCTTTTACACACAGACGCTTTTACACACAAACACTTTGACACACAGACACTTTTGCACACAAAAGCTTTTACACACAGACGCTTTTACACACTAACACTTTTACACACAGACGCTTTTACACACAGACGCCTTTACACACAGACGCTTTTACACACAGACGCTTTTACACACAGACGCTTTTACACACAGACGCTTTTACACACAGACACTTTTACACACAGACACTTTTACACACAACACTTTCACATACAGAGGCTTTTACACACAGAAGCTTTTACACACAGGCGCTTTTACACACAGACGCTTTTACACACAGACGCTTTTACACACAGACGCTTTTACACACAGAGCCTTTTACACACAGACGCTTTTACACACAGACGCTTTTCCACACAGAAGCTTTTACACACAGACACTTTTACACACAGACGCTTTTACACACAGACGCTTTTACACACAGACGCTTTTACACACAGACGATTTTACACACAGACGCTTTTACACACAGACGCTTTTACACACAGACGCTTTTACACACAGACGCTTTTACACACAGACACTTTTACACACAGACGCTTTTACACACAGACGCTTTGACACACAAACACTTTTACACACAGAGGCTTTTACACACAGACGCTTTTACACACAGACGCTTTTACACACAGAGGCTTTTACACACAAGCACTTTTACACACAGACGCTTTTACACACAGACGCTTTTACACACAGACGCTTTTGCACACAGTCTTTTACACACAGACGCTTTTACACACAGACGCTTTTACACACAGACGCTTTGACACACAGACGCTTTTTGACGATCGACCTTCATTTCGTGCGAAAGGGTTGCTCGGGGACAAGTAAACTCGCAATTTTTCCTCAGTTTTTGACGATCGACCCTCATTTCGTGCGAAAGGGTTGCTCGGGGACAAGTAAACTCGCAATTTTTCCTCAGTTTTTGCGCATCGACCCTCATTTCGTGCGAAAGGGTTGCTCGGGGACAAGGAAACTCGCAATTTTTCCTCAGTTTTTGCGCATCGACCCTCATTTCGTGCGAAAGGGTTGCTCCGGCACAAGTAAACTCGCAATTTTTCCTCAGTTTTTGACGATCGACCCTCATTTCGTGCGAAAGGGTTGCTCCGGCACAAGTAAACTCGCAATTTTACCTCAGTTTTTGACGATCGACCCTCATTTCGTGCGAAAGCGTTGCTCCAGGACAAGTAAACTCGCAATTTTTCCTCAGTTTTTGACGATCGACCCTAATTTCGTGCGAAAGGGTTGCTCGGGGACAAGTAAACTCGCAATTTTTCCTCAGTTTTTGACGATCGACCCTCATTTCGTGCGAAAGGGTTGCTCGGGGACAAGTAAACTCGCAATTTTTCCTCAGTTTTTGACGATCGACCTTCATTTCGTGCGAAAGGGTTGACGTTTCGTGACTCTCCGCCGGCACCACCCTCGGCCTAAAGAGAGAAAGATAAAGAAGGCGAGAGAGAGAAGATGTGAAGGTGAGAAGATGTGAGAGAAGGTGTGAAGTTGAGCAGATGTGAAGAGGAGTGAGATGTGAAGATGAGCAGATGTGAAGTTGAGCAAGATGTGAAAGATGAGCAGATGTGAAGATGAGCAGATGTGAGAGAAGATGTGAAGATGAGCAGATGTGAGAGAAGATGTGAAGATGAGCAGATGTGAGAGAAGATGAGCAAGATGAGCAGATGAGAGAAGATGTGAAGATTAGCAGATGTGAGAGAAGATGTGAGAGAAGATGAAGATGAGCAGATGTGAGAGAAGATGTGAAGATGAGCAGATGTGAGAGAGCAGATGTGAGAGAAGATGTGAAGATGAGCAGATGTGAGAGCAGATGTGAGAGAAGATGTGAAGATGAGCAGATGTGAAAATGAGAAGGTGTGAGAGAAGGTGTGAAGATGAGAAGGTGTGAAGATGAGAAGATGAGATACAGACCCGCACTATTGGAAGAACCCTGCGCTCAGACGCTCTCGGGAAAAATCTAAAATCTAAAATATCATAAACATCACACACTCTGCCAACTGAATGCAAGGAAGCTGATTTTGTGAGTTGCAAAAGTAGCGAAATGGCAAATGCATTCAAATGCCCTGTTTCCATTGGTCAATCTTTGGTCCCTTTTCCTGGACCATCCTGGGTCCATGTTGATGCTTGAGTCTTATCAGTTGATTATCAAGGTACCATCGCTACCTCAATCACAGGGTGCTGGACATTCTGCAAGACCAGGCCAAATCCAAAAGATCCGTTGGCCTTTTGTCTCTCTCTCTCTCTCTCTGTGTCTGTCTGTCTCTCACACGAACAGATGCAACACGATGGCTGCCAAACATGCAGATCCATGGTGATTTGCATTGAAGAGACCAGCAACAAGACTGCATGTCCTCAAACAGGCGGCATCATATAGAGTCAGACCTTTCCAAAATCCATGTCAAGCCATGTCAAGCCACTCGCAGGTGAATCTCATCAGGTCCGGAATGGTCCGGCGTATCGTCGCTTGGCTGCAGAGGTGATGTGTCAGATATGCGCTGGCAATTCTTGAATCAGACGGAAATTGAGTGGCATTGCATTGGTTGGACGTAATAAAATCCAATTGGATTCCAGGGCATCGTTTCCTGTGTTGATTCCTGATGAGGAATGGCGACTGGAAAAGGCTTCGCAACTTAGAAAGTGGAAGTCCCAGAGGAACCTGAGCTTGCCATTCTTTACCAACTGTCCTCCTCATATCGTTCAGGAGGTGACGAGGCATTTGTTTTGTAAAGGGAGATGCGTTGCTGCAATTTGCAAATTCGGAGGGACTGACATTTACAGAAAGATCGAAATCTCAAAAGTGCAGAAGGGCAGCGTAGCATTTAGATGCATTTGGGACCTAGGAGAAACTATCTGAGTCTGTTGAATCGTTTTCTGGTATTGACATCCATTGACCATAGATAGCATGAGTTTGCCGAGGTGTTTTCCAGAGAATGAATGCCTTTGCAGCACCACTTTTGAAGCTGCGGGTGTCGGGATACTTGGATACCTGCTGTTACATCTTGTTTCCCCTGTCCTGATATTCTGACTCCGTCACGCTCCCATTGCTGCTGCTCGGCGAATCATCCATGATCTATGGAACTGGGGGGGTTATTTGAGCAAATGATGCTGCAATCCCAAGGGCCGGTCTCCAATTGAAAAGGATCCAGTTGCAAATGACATTGATTATTGGTTATGATGTGTTCAAGTCCTGGCAGCAAATCGCATTATGATACTGGAATGCGCGGGTGACAGACTCGTTGACGAGTCCCACAATGGTGCTAAGTACAGTCAGGGAAAGTTCTATTTCGAACATGCACTATAAGCAGGATCTTGCCAGTATCCAGGGCGTGAGATTGGACGCAACAAAGTTTGGACAATCCAACAAGTGAAATGTTCCGAAATCAGAGGTGTTTACTCAACCTGTTTCCCCCCAGCCACTACAGGGTTTGGTTCCCAAAGAAACATTGCATCTTCAGGTCGACGATTTGCAGCTTGTCATTGCCTCGGGTGGTGATTGTAAGACTGTGTGTGTGGTTAATTAGCCTGTTGGCATGCGTTCTAGTTGAGTAGGTTTTGTTTACAGCAAAGAAAAGCAGAATCCTACGTGCAGCAGGTTTCCAGTTTCGTTTCGTTAGTGAAACGAGGTCTTCTACCCTTCAGGATATGTTGGAGCAAGAGAAGGCAGCTGACTATGCGCAGACCATTTCGTCATCCGGATTGGCTATGCGTGATGTGCTCACCCCACTACTACAGTCAGCTAGTTGAACTATGTTTAACTGCAGATCAGCGCAAAAAAAGTCCAATACACTATTCGATTGTTGCCGTGAGACCTGGACTTGACAGCAATTCCCATCAATGGTCAATTGTTTGAAGGGCTGGTGCACGCATTGTTTCATATGGCACCACATTCTGAGTCGTCCCCCGCAAGCGCAGGTTTCTGTTCCTTCTTCCTCCATTGTTTGGCGCCCGGATGCTAGGGTTGGCGCCAAAGTGCAAGAGGTTGTGCTTCGCAATCGACTTGCTTTTGAGATTGTTTCAAGGTCCAGCAGGGAGTATGATCAAGTGCTGGCTTTCCGTTGGCAAACATCGCCGAGAGGCAGGTCTTTGGAATATTTGCAATATTGGGGTACCATTTGTGGGCGATAAAAAAACATATAAAAACATGTCCAAGTTAGATTTGTTTAGAGTGAGCAGTGGCCAAGAACCCTAATCTTCACTGGACTGTCCATGATTATCCAATGGTAAATGCTGCAAGATGAGCCAGTCTTGGAGAATCCAACCTTTTGGACCCTTGTGGCAAAATCACTTTGGGGGAAAAAGGGAGGGCTGGAATTCGATTGCGCATAAGTCCCCGAATAAACGCACTAGATTCACTAGATTCACTATAGATTCACAAAGCTTCACAACAAAAATGCAGAGTGTATGCGCGGTGTCCACTGCGACTTTGGAGGCCAAATGTGCCTTCGAAAAGCCGGGTTTCTTTGGCCGCACCAACTTTTGCCGTTTCGACAACAGTGCCTTGGCAAAGCATGGCACCATCATGTCCAGTTTGGAGTGCAAACATGTGCAAACCACAAATATGTGCAGTATAAGCGCCGCTGGTATTGCTTCGGGGCTATTTGGGGCATGGCCACCACTGTGACATGAACGGCAGTTTGGAGTTGTAAATTGACGTTGAATGTTTGATTGGTCACTTTTCAGCATATCTTATGGCATTCTACTTGTAACATCAGGGTTTGGCATCAAAAAGAATGGTCCCGACGCTTAATGGTGTGGCAGCAAAGGTATTGACACCACGGACGATACCACTCTGCTGGTGTTGGAGATTGATGAGGTGAGATTTCACTGCCATGGGCCATCAGGGTCATCCAAACCACCATGCAGATCTATGCAGGCTCAATGGAACATTGAGGAGAACTTGTCGCACTTGCCAAAGGACTGCTCCTGCAGCCGTAGACACTGTTTCCAATCCTGTGGGCTTGAAAAACACCGTTAAGTTGTCAATTATGCTCAATTGGTCCGCAGCTTTTGTTTGATTTCTGTTTCAGATCGTTAAAACTTATAAGACCTGACTACAATGAGCAAAACACTGCAAATCATGAACCGTCATTGGCTGAATACCACTTTGACAGAATCTTGTCTCGTGGCACAAGAGAGCTCTTGTAAACTCTTATCTATCTATAGGTAATAAGATATGCAGGTACAATAGGTACAACATGGTACAACATGGTACAATAGTACCAAATGCAAATGGTAGAAAGTCTAAGTGGAATCTCGGCTGGAAGGTTAGCACAGTGTCTACCAAGCACGCCAAAACCTCAGCTACTACAGAGAACGGTTTCTCCAAGTGGCATGATTCGCAGATTTCTCGCATTCATTCACACGTTGCCAAGAACAGCAGCATCCTTGACGAAGACTCAATGCCACCAAGTCCGGTCAACCTGCCACGTCTTCCTTGCAACACAGGAGATACACCAAAAGCAGTGAAGATGCAAATACTGCAACCGTTCAGTCGTTCAGGAAAACATATCCTTTCGTTTTGAACTATTCCTTCGCTGATTCGGTGCATATAAGTTTGCATTTGATTCGTTTGCGGCTCAAGATCTGCGCAAGACGAAGCGCGGAGATTGACAACGTTCGATAGCTGGACCATCGGTTCGCTACGTTCACCGCTACAATGCAGATTTCCCAGATGTTTGCCGCAGTGGCCTTGCTTTCCGTTTTTGCAGCTGATGCAACTGCACCTGCTGCACCTGCCAGCATTGCTAACCTGGCCACCAATCCAGCCAACACGGATGCACACCTCAAGTCTGTGGCTGGAGCACTGACAGATCTCCTGAAGACCAATGGCGCCAATCAGGCCAGCAATACATCCGACATCGTGAAGACGATCAAGGATTTGCTCGAGAAGAACATGAAAGGCCATGTGATCGGCAACTTCAACAAGAGCCTTGCGGCCATCGAATCTTCCCGGAACGAGTTCGTGAAGTGCCGCCTGACCTACGCGAAGTCGGATCCTGTCCGATTCCCAGCAACCTCGTTGCTCCAGGCCAACGGCACGAACAGCACTCCTTGGTACGAGGCCTATTTCCAGGCCTACAGTCAGTGCAAGGCTGGATCGGTTTGCATCAGAATGCAATATAATTATATATATATATGTATTATATATATAATATATAATATAATATAATATCATATAATATAATATAATATAATATAAATATATTGATATTATATTATATTATTATATTATATTAAATATTATATATTATTTTATACATATTATATTATATATATTATATTATATATATATATTATACATTATATATACTATATTATATATATATATTATGTTATATATATTATATATATTATATATATTATATTATATATATTATATATATTATATATATTATATATATT